GCAGGCATGAAAAATAGTGAGTAACTCCTCATAGTTCGTCTGCTAAGGTTTTTAAGATCTTTGAACAGGAAGTTGTACAGAGTGCGGAGAATGTGGCAGAAGATTCAGTCGCGCCTCTGCCCTGCGTAAGCACCAAAAGGCCGAGCATAGCGAATACCGTGCATCGAGAATTGGAGAGCAGATCATCGAGCAAGCGCATACGCAGCCGCAGGTGAGTGCCACAGTGGACCGGGAGAGTGGTCGATACCATGAAGAGATTTTGGCTCCTGTAGCCAGGAATTTCAGCCCAACACATCAGCGCACTGATCATAATCCCGGAAACCAGCTAGTGGAAGTGCAACAAGCTTCCTCCGCGATTGCACCCCAGGATAGGCCTGCAAAATTTTGCCGCAATGAACTCGAGCAGAGAATTGTTGAAAGCGAAACCGTGCACGCCGAGGCAAGATGCGAGCTTTGTGGAAAACTATTTTCGAATAGAGATAGTTTACGACATCATAATAAAAATAGTAGAGTCACTGTCAAGAGCGTCTTATGTGCGTGTCGCTGATATAATATAACAGATACCTGCTCACTCGAGTGTCCGGATTGTAAGACAACATTCGCCGATCCTGAAGGAAGACGTCATCACCATAGTATTGAGCACAAATGCGTGGAAAGGGAGCCAAAAGATCCGAGAACAATATCTGTACCACAAACTCCTCCAACCTCCCCTAGAAAAATTGACAAATCGCGGAGTTCAAATCATACAGGAACTCTATCATCGAATGACGCCCGAGTTCTTGATAAAAGCAAGTCTTCTCCCATTCCAACCCCGCTGCCGCACTCACCCACATCACTCTCTCATTTTGAATGCGCCGACTAACAATCTTAAAGATGGTAAACGTCGTTACAAGAAAACTCCCCGCAATGAAGCAGAAGACTCAGACGCAGACGACATTCTCTCTCCATCCGAGATTACGAAAACAGCGCGAGCCCAAAGAAGAAGATATACTAGATCTTCCGATAGAGCTGAAGCAAGGATGACTAATAGCCAGGAATCACCAGTCCGACGCGGTGCAAGACGAAGTAAGACTCCTGTAATAGAAGAATGATTGAGATGAATTGCGTTCTTCAAGGACAGGCGGTATAAGGAAATATTTTCGCTCCGGAATTATGTCTTCTTTCGGTCTTGAAAATTGGAAGATGAGATGAGTCGCAAAATGGAGATGAAATTGAGTTGGGATTTTCAGGAGAATTAGTCATCAGTGTGCATTTAAAAATGGGAAAATGAAGGGCTACTGTACCGATAAGGAAGGAGAACAGGAATAACGGGCGTCCGATTTGTTACCTTAAGTGTACTGTTAGACACAAATCTAAAACTATCATTATGAACTCCGCTTTCATATACATTGATTTTCAAGCTGAAGTTAGAAACGATGTTTCGAGGTGTGTGGCGCATGTAGCGCATGGGAAAGCCACCCGGACATGAAACTCGTCGTCCAGATTCGGAAGCAGAGCCTTTAACCATTCTTTGTGATTTTTGATGATATGCTGAACTTGACACAGTGCGACCTGGGAACAGTGCAGAAGCCTGGGCAATGTCAAGTTATTATGTTGTCCAACCTCGGTGTAAGATGTAAGAAAATCTCCGCTCCTATTGTAAGGATGCGTGTAAGCGAAAAAGTTGTCACCACTCCGGACTCCTTTAGGAAATTCATCAAGGAGTTATTATGATTGGCCGTATAAGATATTCCCAACGTCGACTGAGCCAATGAGAGCTGAGTATTCGATGCTTGATGGTAGGATTACTGATTTGGTTGATCTCCTCCACAATGTTTCTGACCTTCTAGCCATAATGAGCAGTTTTGTTATGCCTACATCAAAGTGAACCGAACATGCTCTCTACCCATGGAACCTGCAGGTGGCAAATCCATACTTAAACACGGTCCCATCTGCCCGAGTTATCTTGAACTGCCCACCTTCCTCATTCAATCATCGAACAGCATCCTGCAGGTTTATGGCATCGTGAAGTACATAATTCAACCCATAATCCCGGCACTTCAAGCAGTTCCCACGTTACTTGAAAATTCCATATAGCTGCTCCATTGCCACTTTAACCCTTACAGCTTGACAAATTGCTGCTATTCATTCGTTACATCATGTCTCAAAGCGATCAAAATCGTCTTCGTACCGGGGAAATGGAAATTGGCTACACAGAAGCAGTAGAGCGTCATGCCAACAGACATGTCGTAGCACCGAAACCAGTATCGCAACGCAAGTTAGACTTCGAAAATGCAAGGCCAAGATGGATGCGAGAAATGGCTGCGGAGGCTATGGGTGTTTTCTTCTTCGTGTAAGTCCAGAGCGCGAAAATATGCAATAAATATGCACCAGTCACTGACATTCATTCTTAGGTATCCAGGAATTGCATCGTGTGCATCATTCTTTCTGAACCCTGGTGACCCGGGATTTGGATCAGTTTTCCAAATTGGTTGGGCCTTTGCAATCGGCATCGCTTTCGCTATCATGTAGGTGGACTCATCATCTGCTCAACGTCTCAATCGCTAATAACCAATAGAACTTGCGGAAGTACTTCCGGGGGCCATTTCAATGCGGCCGTAACGATCTCTTGTGCCGTATGGTTGGGGGTATGTTCCACTGTCCCCATTTATGTATCGACACTAGCTAATCCATCCCAGTTCCCTTGGAAAAAGGTTCCACAATATATCTTTGCCCAGGTCTTCGGCTCCTTTATGGCAGCTGTGCTGCTTGTCGGACAATATTACCCACAGTTGACAGCACTTGCTGCGGAGTACCGTGCTAAAGGCTTGAGTCTCAATTCACCAGGCGGACCAGGAAGTATCCTTTGCTCCTTTCCTGGAGCGGATCAGTCATATGGGTATCTGTTCTTCATAGAATTTTTTGCTGATGTCTTCGTCGTATGTATCAACGAACATTCTAGGTACTGTAACTTGCTAAAATATTTTAGGGGATCGTGATTTGGGCTTGCCTCGACCCTATGAACCCGTTTGTGTCTGCAGCTGCGGTGCCGTGGGTGATCGGTTTAGGTTATGGTAAGCATTGAAGTCACACCTGTTTCTTGCTTTCTACGTCGCCAATAATATCTTCATTGTTGAATACTTGCTAACCTCTCTCAGCAACAATGATCTGGGGTTTTGCGGATGTGACGATAGAGCTTAACTCATCGCGCGACTTGGGAGCTCGCATCGTTGCAGCTATTTTCTTCGGAGGAGATGCTTTCTCGGTTTATTCAGCCATACCCGTCTTCACAAGTATACCTGCCATGCTTCTCGGGACGGCATTGTATGAGATGATTCAGCGCGATAGCTTTGCAGTCATCGCTAAAGGTCATAATGTGCACGAGAAGGGAGAAGATGGTGTCATTCAGCATTTGTCCAAGAATGGTGCGCTTGGTGGAAGTACCAGTAACTCTGGAAGGAGTATAGAAAGTGAAAAATGGGATGATGAGAGAAAGAATGATTCTGCTGTATGAAATATTTTAAAGGTTAACGAAAACGAAAGACTGGGGTTGGGTTTGGATGCCCCGGAAAGCCCAATGAATAATGAAAATATGTATTAATGAAAGCAAAACGATGGTTCTGGCTCTGTATCATGATAATAACTTCTCAATCGATGTACGCGGTGCCGTTGTCTCAACTCTCGAGCTTGTGATTCTGGAAATGCTGAACTGGAGAAGAAATTCTGACCATGAGATTGAGAACGAATAGGCGCATGCTCAAGGCTCCTAGGTCATTACTGCTCAATCGAAAGGGACTGGAAATTTGAGGTTCAATAGATTGTCCATATACATGACATTGATGGAAAGTCCCCCACGGGAAGTTTGAACGTTATGCCGTTCAGCCGCTGATATAAACACGTGGTTGAATACTTCTCAGAGCTTAACCATAAACAGTCAAGCGCACAATCTTTCAATAGCATCCGCACCACTTCCGGAAACTTTCATTGAAGTACAGTAGTACCTCGCTCCATGAGTACGGCAGTGGAAAGACGATCGTCAAATTCAATACCTGACGGAGAAGTCATTCATGTAAAATAGCATCATAATATTATCATTGATTGTATGTACCCCTAGGTACCTAGGTGTTGTATTTAGCTTCATATAGGTATCTAGGGCACATTTTATGACTACCCCTCCTTTTATCCCACGGTCTTTGATTGGAATACTCATTGCTGTTTTATATCAATTTCATTTCACTCGACACAATACACAAAACCGTCTCCTGTCGCATATCTCGACATTCAGCGGTTACACCCCTTTAATTTACATCTCGAACAGCGGACGATGTTAGAGAAACATAGGATCGTCTGTTCTCAATTTTTATAATTTTTTCACCATTTAACTGCCGCTATGTTCCAAAATCAATCAATCGAGGATATGTCGTCAAGTATGGATATATTTGAACCCGAAACCAGAGCTGAAGTGAACGACAAACGCGCAAAAGCTAATGTGGAAAGTACATCACGGTCGCCTTCAAAAGCTCGGTCATTATCAGATGGCGGTCAACCGACGCTTTCACCGTCTCCAAAATTTTGCGAATCAGAGAAGCCAATATCCAAAGATGATAGTTCCCTTTCCGAAAGTCCGACGACTCCAAGGCGACCTGCATTCCCTCGAGGCCTTTCACTGCAGATGCCACCAAAGGATTTTATGCCATTAGGACCATCAGGATATATCAATCGAGCACCTTTATCACCAAAATTAGATCAATCGCAGACATATGGGTCGCCTACAAGTGTGTTGCCTAGACGATCCCGAGGTTTAGATTTTTCAAGAGCTGCTACGAATCTTCATCACTCCACACTCGCAGAGCATTCGTCGCCTGATTCTTCGCCTACAATAACTGGCAGAGCAATGAACATCCCGAATAGAAAAAATGGGTTAAACTTTACTAGCGTTGGGGAAGGTTCCTTATGGTCTCCCATGGCAAATACAGAAAGAATGACTGTATCCAACTCGCTCGGCAGTGTTAACATGATGGTCTCTGATTCTTCCGAAAGTAGTTGCGACGACGATGATTTGATGGAATCAGATGACATCGATGACTCTATTCTTACAACACCTCAGATTAATAGGATGACAGCACCTTACTTCGGAAACTCTAACTCAAGCCCTGGCGGTGCTTGGTCTGGACAATCTCCCGCAGTCAGCAGTCTTATGAATTTTCAGCATGGAAAATTAAGGAACGGCAAGAGTCGCAAAGGATCAAAAAATGGGCCAATGGCTAGTATGATTTCCAAATCACCTCCTACTGTGCGCAATGTCGAAAGTGGCTATTTTAACAGGCCAATGACGGTTGACAATATTCATTCGAGGAGAGAAAGTATAAGCTGGGCTGCAAACCAATTACATATATCAGGAAGGGAAAGTGATGATGGTGCTTTAAAGTCGACATTGGAGAATGTGGATGGGATGCCTAGTACGCCTGGAAAGGATGGACAACGAGGGGTTATTCGCAGACCGGTGACTAGGAGGGGAAACATGCTAGTATGTAAATACACGGTCGGAAGGTTTGGCATGACTAACATTGAATAGCCCAAAACAAAAACATTTGCGCGGATCAAAGCAGCTCTCGCTGAAGAGAGCGCACCAATCGAAACGGAAGTTCGTCGAGAAGCAGAAGTCGTCCGCCAAACCCGCGAAAGTGATATGGACCTCGAACCTTCCCGTCATCCCTCTATATCAACAACAGATACTACACGCTCATCACCAATACTTAGCGCAACACAGGAGTTTCTAGAAGGAATGACTGAAGATGATGTAATGGCCGATGCATCCAGTTCTCAACTATCCAGTAGCTTCAAGCAACAAGCCATTCGCAACTCAAAAGGAAAAGAGTTCTGGGAATCCTTTAGCGATGATAACAATCGCACGCCACCACCGCCCAATTTTAATCCTCGCGGTTCCACCGCAGGCATGAATGACGATATATCATTAGAGTCCCATCTTTCCACGCCCCTACATCTCCACCGCAGTAACTCCGATTCCTCTCCATCCCGCTCCTCCACCCCTCAACCATCAGAACCCATACGCAAAATCACGCATAAACGTCGTCGAGACGATGACCTCGATCCCACGAGTTTTAAGAGGAGAGCTGTTAGTCCAGGAATGAGCGTACACAATAGTCCTGTAATGCAAAGTCCAATGCAAAGGGATATGGCGCCTTGGGGTGCTAGACCTGGTAGTAACGGAGAGCCTGGAAACGGAAAGAGTGGGTTGGGGAATGGTGGGACAGGGATTGGAGGTAGGAGGGTGGGGCTTCAGGGTATGGTGGATACTAATGATGGGTTGATGAAGATGAGTATTGAATAATGAGGGAAAGTATGGTTTCTGGCGTACGGTACGGTTATGGATCTGATATGGAGTTAAATGGTTATGCGGGGGATCCTGCTCACACGATAGGTGCTTTGCTGGGTGTTTATATTGCACTGGAAAATCCGTACATTTTGAGTCTGTCTTGTTGCTAAGCGGGAAGCGTATGTATATATATATTATCCCATCTAGCATCATCAACTGGGAAATAGCAAAGGGAATAAATAGGAGGACAGGACACTGCCATACAGCGAAACTAGATGGCGACAAATAGCCCAATAGCAATTTATTTTATATTGACTTTTTAAGTTATCTATTACTAGTGTGTCTAGTGTCAAGTTAATATTATTGCTAGTTAGTGCTCTATGTGTATATAGATATATATATATACCCACCCCCTAATCGATTTCGATAATTCTCATTCCTATATCCCCTTCCACCATCACATCCAAAAATAAATACAATATAATTATAAAACACCATATTCACTCTACTTTCGAATTTTCCCATCCCATTCCATCTATCCATCTCATGTGTAACATCCACTCATCCACTTGTTTATATACAGTCAAGTCAACACAAGGCAAGATAAAAAAAAATTAAAAAAAATACCAGGTAATAGGTATCTACATATATACACAGTACATATATACATACAAAAGATCCTCCATCTCTATCTCTATCACTATCTCCATCTGTATCTCCATCTACCTCTACGCTCTCCCCCTCTACTTTCTCCATCCCGTACGACTAAATACACACAGTACTCTGTATCTCCAACTCCCATCCCATATCATCCCATGCCATCCTGTATCTATTTTTTCCACATTTGAATTCATAAAATAGAATAAACTCCTTTAAAACTCCATTGCTATACCCATCCAGATTCATCCAATCAATCAATCAATCAACCAATCAAGAACTTCTCTTCAATAAGTTGGTCGAACCAAACAAAACCGATACACGAGGAAAAACGCCTATGATGCATATTTCATTGTATGCCTCAACCCATGTATATTTACCCCTAGGTACTGTACCTACTCAAATGCGAGTAAATGCGCCGTTTGCGCCCACCAATAAAATATCTATTTATTTGTACCATTTCGTTCATACACATGTTGATTGTGCTATTCATAAGTTTGCATCAAAGTATAATACTTGGGTGTTAATTTTGACAAAATATCAAATGTTGGGTAGGCAATTTATGTGTATTCCCAAGATATTTCGTATGGAGGTAATTCAAGACCTTGCCACTTTTCGCCATATGGATTCGTACGTGATCCAGAGAAGAAACCATCTTGTGCTCTTTGAATAACGTTAAGCCATGATGATGGTTCGGGATTTTTGTACCACTAGAATTGTTAGCCAAAATCAAATCATAAGACAAAACTGTGAACCTACCTGATTGTGGATATGATATGTCCAAGCGCCTCGGAAGAAATTCTCTAAAGTTCGATTTGTAGGTGGATAATTATCCTCTTCAAATTTGTACTCGGCTTTGCTCAATGCTGCTCGGTCGATGGTCAACATTTCAACCCCCATTCCAGTTGATGCTCGTTCCACCGTAACGACACGCTTCTCAACTTCTACTTCCCCAACAGATCTCATTTCCCAGAAATGTTTTGATGTGGTCTTCGAGGCAAGCTTTAATTGAGGTCCATCGTAACTTTCCCATTCGTCATGATTTGGAAAGGCATTCTTTCCCTTGAATACTTGTCCATAATCCTTGATGCATGGTATGGTACATCTTCCTAATCTGTCCCAGTTGAATTCAGTCCAGATCGGATCAAAAGCGGCAGTCTCCAACATATTGAATTCTTGGTTTCGACCATCCTTCACAGCCATAACGCCAATGATTCGAGGATGGAAGTTGAGCCCCATCCTTACGCCACCACGCAAAAGATACGAGGAAAGAGACGAATTGGCAGTCAAAGACATCACCGCCGTATTATAATCACCAGGGCTGGAATGACCTCCCCAACGTTCTGCGAATGAATGTTCATCTCCAATAAGTAGTGGTCTCATATCCCTTAGCATGACAACGTCCATATCATAATAAGATCCTCCATATAAGTGCAAGACAACGAATCTCATGGCATCTGAAACAGCAACGGGCAAGAACGTCATCTGCCTTTCTGTTAAAATCAACCATTCTTGGTTATTGGCATCCCGGATAAGTCCATCTGCTACCAGAACCTCGTTTTTCGCATTAGGCTTTCCTGGAGTTTTGTAGTATCCACGTCCATCCGTGTTATCTCCAGGTGGTAATGGTATTCTTGAAGGGAAATTCCACAATTTCAAAGTTATGTCTCCTCTTTCAACGAATGGTATAAATCTCTTGAACAATGGATCGCGGGTCATAAACTTTTCGATTGCATCTGGATCCCTATCTCCATCCAACCATAAGAATAATCTTGAACAAGGAAGATTCTGCGTATAAAAATAACTCTTTATGAAAAGCTCTACTCTCCAAGTCGCAGGACCGGTCCAGTAGGTATGGTATGGTACAATTGGACCATTGCATTGACCAGAGGATGATTTCGAGTAAGATTTTTGCGAAGGATATTGTGCCAAAGAATTGCCCTGACCATCGGAATCCAGATACTCTGCCATCTTGGGTGGTTGCTCGCTCGCTCGCTCTCCTGGTGGTGGCATGTAATAATATTCCTTTTCACCCTCGTCCATGTACTTTAAACAGTCGAAAACATATGGCATTTTCTCGATTTTATTATAAGATCCTCTGCATTCTTCGACTAATTTAGTTAGGTCGCAA